ATCCATCCATCCATCCATCCATCCATCCATCCATCCATCCATCCATCCATCCATCCATCCATCCATCCATCCATCCATCCATCCATCACCAGGTTTTGCTAATGCTTAACATTTATCTGACCTTTCCAGAAGGATAGAGGATCTCTCCATGTGGCTCCTTACTGCCTCTTCTTCATTAAAAGCTTGACTGATGTCTTTTCTTTTTTGGATTTTGAATTTGAGAATGTCACCCTGAGAAATTTGTCATTGAGCTATAAACTCCCTGAGTCTCATCTGACTTCCACCAACTATTCCTATTGGTGCAGAATCCTTTTGCATTGTTGATATATTTTAGACCTGTCAAATTAAAAAAAACAATTATTTATATAATATATATTTTTCAGTAAAACGAATACTTTTATTCTGCACCCCTGTAGACATTCTGTGAATGTGTTATTATCATTAATACTTCTAATGTAGCAGTAGCCTTATAGCCACATAGAGAGATCCAGCAACTATATTAATTTGTTACTAATGAGATCCCTCTTGATTCATAAATTTGACTTTCATAATTTAAAAAAATGTTCTCAAATTTACACGCTCACCGTTCAGCTGAGATCACAACCAAAGAGTTGGGCCCACTTTAAAGACCTGACAGAACTGGATCCTCAACAAACTTCCCTTTATTTCCCAAACAGTTTGACCCAAGTAATAAAGCATACATGTCATGGTTAAAAAAAAAGAAAAAAAGAAAGAGTTTAGACAACGGTTAAATATATATATTTTTTTTTATCTAAAAAGAGAGTTAAATCATTTAACCTTGGAATGTGTAAGATCCACGTTCCAACTCTTTTCTGTTTCCTAGACTGACTTCCAGTTTAAACAATTGGCCGAAATGGATTTTATGAATATTTCTTTTAAACTGCAGCTGTAGTTCCTCTTTAGCAGAGACAACATATAACTTTAAAAGAAATGCAAAATTTATGAAAACTCTGTCAACATCTGTACAAATTTTACTCTTCCTTATCTTTTCCTTTGTTCATAAATTTTTCATTATCTAAAAAAGAATTAAATACACTTTATAACAATTTCACCATTTATGTTCTTATATTTAGACTATTTTACATCTGTTATTTTATAGTTAAAATTATATGCTATAAATCAATGGCATTAATTTAAAAAAAAAATGTTTTCATAATTTTTGTTTTAAAAGGATAGTAATAATAACTGATATCCAAAAAATATAACTGACGTTAAATAAGGTGTAATAATAGTGAAATGCTCTTGAATTTGATACTTGATCAGAAAAAAAAATCTTATTGTACAAAAACAATTGATAAATAATTTAGTGTCATTTAGGTTTTATATTC